AAATTACACAATTTCTATGTATTTACGTTAAGCAAACATAAAATTATTAGTCAAGTAAATATGTACGCATTAAATAAATATTTATTTAAATATCTTATCGAACATGGAAAAAATACTTAAGAAAACACATAGCAATGACTAACAACTTTAAGTCATATCAATACTCCATGGTAATAAATTTCCCTAAGTTGTCTTTAAATAAGTTTATACATATTCAAGAAACATTATGTTATATCAATATTAGCAATCTAATTAAATACTATATGATTTATAAAAAACAATACTACTACATACCTAATGTTTTGATATAAAAAAAATTCAACATCTTTTAGTTTCATGGTGCAAGGTAAAACGACTATTTGAGACATTGTAAGAGCCTTAGTACACTTGAGCATAGAATATTTTCTTAAAATAAAATAAAATAAAATTTGAATAAAGGATACATAAGCAATAGTGTTTCAACTTAACACATGGATAGAAAATTGCAACAACTAGAAAATTGTAAACAATTACAAAACCTCTATGACCTGTATGTAAAAATATAAAATAACCCATGAATCCAAATTTAAATTACCCACATATGCCATTAAGAAACATGATAGATAACTAAGTATCAATCTACTATTACGATAAATAATCTACATAACCCCTAAATTTTTGCATGTAATTACCCACTTGCTATTATGATAGATAATCTACATAGCTCCTTAAATTTCTATCTAAATTACTACTTATGTCATTATAAAAACTAAATTGTCCCCTCCAATCTACATCTAAATCATCAAAATCTTTCTATTACAACAAATGTTTAAATAAACATAAAACATATATATTTGTACATTACGCACTTATATTGACATTAATATATTAAAATTTGACTAAATAATCATATATGTTCTACCATCATTCAAATCATGAAAACACATGCATGCATGAGTGATAAATATATATGTTATGTTTCAAAGATCATGAAAAATATTTGCTTCATATTTCATATACTAATGATAATAACAAATTATTTAACACTATACTAATAGCCATGACATATAGTTTATATAAGTTGTTACTTTAGATATATTTACGCATTTTAATAAAAATGTTTAAAGACATCTATATTGATTGATAGTATAACTGTTATTGCACATATTCCTTGTCAAAAAATTGAATAGCAAAGAGATAGGGGAAGGTTAGTACAGCCCACAGGTGGCCATATCTTCCTAGACTTTTGGGATTCATTTGGATAAACAATTATTATAAAGCTTAAATTTTAATATCCTATTGAGGTTAGCATCTTTACTGCCATCCTAGATCTCTACTTCAACCTGTACCAACCGATCTTAAGCAACATTATGTAACTTTTTAAACAATTGTTTATGCCATCGTAGTACTTAAGATTACAAGTTACTTATCTCAAGTCCTTATTGTTTTCTAGAAAGCACAAAAGGATAAAAAACTATATCAAAGTATAAATTAGTAAGATAAAATTTGGAAAATTAAAATTTAGATTCACGGCATCATAATATATGAGCTGCAACAAGAGCAACCATAATTGAAGTTAAGGTTGGAACTAAATGCATATTAAATATACACAAAGATATTCTGTAAAAATTGTGGATATAAATAAAAGCATATAGATAAATAATTGATTATAAGTTTACAATCGTATAAACACTACAAAGTGTCTATTGTGCCTCTTATGTTAAAATGAACAAAGAGAAAAGTACAATTTAATATAAATATTTTTTTATTAGTAAGAGGTATATGAAACAATAAATGAAACAAAGAGAAAAGGCATAAGTATCAATTATTGTTTAGCTACAACCATCACTCCACAATACACGAGTGGCACTGTCTAAATACAACGCTCACTCCACAATTAGTGCCGCTTTCATGGTTAGTGATAAGTCAACTTTCCATTGTTTTTTTTTCTGCAGTTGAAGAGTACCGGGAACATTTTTTATTAACTCAAAGTAAGTGATTAACAGGAAAGGTTATCATACAATTAGATGATGATGATGATAAATAATAATAATAATAATAATAATAATAATAATAATAATAATAATTAACACAGCTAGTGCTCAGAGTTTTCCAACAAGTAGCTAAAGTCAAACAGTATGCATTAAATTTTCTATGGCTAATTAGGTCAACTTGACCAGGTATAACAATAATCTTTTTCCTATCTGAGCCATCCAATCTCAACCAATCTTAATTCATTCATGCCACATAAAGTTCAGTGTGGACAGATGAGAGGGAACTAATAAGAGAAATTAAAGACAAGACTGGGAATGAAAGGAAAAGGAACTGCCAGCCCAGCCCCCTGGCTCGAGTCCAGAAGACGACGTACCAGGGCAGTAGGCAGCGACAGCTCGATCTGTTTCTTGCCCCTTGCCAATCATATGCTTGTGGTGGTGAACTGGTGGTCGACCTCGATCGACTAGGTGCAAATTTAGGTGGTGTTTGACACATGGAGTATTAAATATAGATTAATTATAAAACTAATTGTATAGTTTACGATTAATGTACGAGATGAATTTTTTAAGTCTAATTAGTCCATGATCTGACAATGTGGTGCTACAGTAAATATGTGCTAATGACGGATTAATTAGACTTAAAAAATTCGTCTAATGGATAACTGACAGATTATATAATTTGTTTTTTTATTAGCATACGAACACCCCATGCAACATCCTCCCGACACACCTCCTGATTTAGTCATCGAATCAAACACCGGCGCTGCTGCGCGGCGTGCGCCTGTCCGCGGATGGATCAGAGCTGCCTGCGCCCGTCACGCCGCCGAACGACTGGCTAGCGACCTGCACAAACTACAAAGGCAGAGACGACCTGCAGGAATGCGCGTTCGGTCTGCTCCTGAAATCGGCGGTGATGTTTGCCGTTCCGGGCTGCATCCATTGCAGCGCTGGGAGGGCCTCCACGTCTCCCATTAATCCAGATGAAGAATCTCCGTTACGGGGAAAATGGACAATCAGAAGCATTTGTACGTGGAAATAACAGATTCTCTCGACACGGTTTGTTGCTCGGCACAAAAGACATTCAGATTCATTTCCGTGCGAGAATTCTGCCGAACCACCAGCTTTCCATGGTGGTATGCTAGACTGGTAGCTTTAGAGCATCTTCAAAAGACTCTCCATATCCTTTTTAATTGCTAGGAATAGATATTTTAGTGAAAAACTAACCTTTCACATCAAATACAAATACAGGCAAGCTCTCGCATAAAGTTTCGAGAAAAATGCCCTAACATGGAAATAGTAGGATATCCTATTTAAAGTAATAAAGGGCTTAAATATTTTGAGACAAAGGAATATACTAAAACAACAATCTATTCGATTTTCGAAAGCAGATACATCGTTTCGAAGTTTCCCTATGGCAATAATTCGAAATGGTAAACTTAGCTGCGTGCTGACCAATATACCAAAATCTGAACGTACAGCAACCGAATAAAGAGTGATAGGCCTAAAATATACATTTAGCACACAGGAAGAATTAGGATCGTGAATCATGCTGAAACAACAGCGACCATGCCAGCCGTTTTATAATTTAAAGTAAGCAAGCCACCGCACTGCAGCTATAATTTCTGCACTGTTCATGTCAAACACAAACTCATCAAATAGGATCAGAAATAAATAGATCAGACAACGCACTGGAAACAATATTACTTATCACAGTTGAGTTCAGGTTTGCACATAATAGTTAATACTTGCACGGGAACCACTGACAAGTTGCACTCCAGCACGCATTAGTCCAAACTTAAACAAGAGATATAGGAGCAGATTGACTAGGCACAAGATGGACTCTAGAAAACACCAGGGCAGTCACATTCAGAAGCTTCCAAGCACAGCACGTCAGCACCAAATTTTTATGTAGGTCACCAGCAACCTGCCAAGAGAATTTACATAAGACTTGGTTTGCAGTGAGAAAACATATGATGCAGCATACAAACATTATACATGCAGGATAATGCCCTAAAGAAGACCGAAAACATTTACTGACCATGAACACCATCAAAAGAGCATAATCGACAGAACTAATGGTTCTTGCTGCCATCTGCGTATAGAAAGAGTTGGGGACAGTGGCATCAGTAGGTTATATAGTTATGTAATTTGGGGAAAATTTAGAAGGCACAATAATAAGTTTAGTTTCAGGGCACAGACCTAGCATTGAAGGCTTAAGGAAATGCTCGTCTTCAGGAAACATCTGAAGGTTTTTTGACTTCAGCAAGAACCCAACAGCAGCGTCTTTGAAATCCAGTAAGCTGCCAAACTTAATAAGCTCCGTGAGCGAAGGGATCTGATCCGCCATCTCAAAGAGCAGGCCTTGAGATATCTCCTCTGCGAAGTAGGTCGCAAACTCAATCTTTTCTTTGAAGCTGGGCTCGCCGTCGCTACTCTGCATGTACAGCTTGGAATCCTCCCTTCCCACCTAAGCATTCGGCTGGACTTCACATCCACAACCTCTCCAGATGACAATCTTACACTATACCCCACTGTGATTGGTTCATCACTCTCTTGGACAGTCACATTCAGAAGGCAAGAAACCATCCTGTGCCTCTCTTCAGCAGGAATGTCGGAAAGCAGGATCAGCGAGGAATGAGAGAATTATTTTGAGTAGACCAACCTTGATCACCTTACTTGGATCAGTTGTTCTGAAATGGTAATTGTCTAAGGTGAAGGCATCATTCTTGGTGACTGCGTTGGATATTCTTTGAACACCGATGCTATCATAGATGCAGTTAAGGCTTGCTCGAGACATGGAAGGTAGGATAGAAGCAGGATACCAGATAAAAAATGAATGCTGAGCTAGCTTGCTGAACAAGTCTGTAAGTAGTAGATCATCAGGAATGAACACATCCTCCTTCATTGATAAAATGATCTTTCCGTCAGTACACACAGGAACTTTGACACAACCAGAAAGAAGTTTCTGGGTGTTTTTGCTCCAGTTTGTCGCAATGAATTTCCAGAAAGCAGAGCAATCAGACACAGCTATCTCCTGGACGGATTTCTCCCATGTGACCCATAGTCTGCAGTAATCTTCAGAACCAGGCCCATTCCTCACGTCCAAATGGTACAAAAAGAAGTCAAGCAACTTTTTGTCATAATATTTGTCCAGGACATGAAGCTGCAGGCCAAAAAGATTGTTCCGATCATGAAGAACACAGCTTCTTGGAGTCACCCATTCTCCACCATCCATTTCGTTTGGTATCCAAATCCAATTGCTATTTTTATTTTCAGGCACCCAATTGCTCTCCATCAGGTATGAGTAGATCCGAGAAATGGTAATCCTATCATTGTGGCTCCTCAGATGCCGAGCAACAAGATCTTTTCCATGTTTGATATCCACAGTTACTCCGATTCTTGTAAGAGCATCTTTCAATGAGGCTATCTCTGAACCATAGAATGCTTCATCTATGAAAGGTCCATCTTCCATGCAGATAGAAGACTGTGTAGGATCAAAGAGGATACAATCATTAGGACACTGATATCCCATGGATGTCTTCAACCACTTGCACAAATTTTCCTGGAAGCCCTTAGGAGGTCCAGCTGCAAGGGTGAAGTAGCTCTTGATGCACCCAAGCAGTGACAAGATTGTAGCTTTGGACAACTTGGAAGGGTCACGAGGAATGCTGATGCCTGTGATGACGAATCTAGCACCTTGTTTTAATTCAACAGTAACACCCAACTTCTTCAGTTCATCTTTGTAGCCATGTATCTCCATTCCTAAACCATAACAAGAGTCACCATCACCTATGAATGGTAAATTTGCTATTGGAGACAAAGGTTCCCATTCATCATCAAATAGAATTGCATCTGAAGGAGATTGGAATCCCAGTGAGGTGTGCAGCCACTTTTCAGTACGCATAGCGTTGAAAAGCTCAACTGGAATTAGGTCATGTGTTGCCAGTTGACGATATGATCCTAGTAGAGCCAGGAGATCTGCTTTTTCAAGCGATGAATTCAACACCTTCTGCTTGAAAATATGGGTTATAGCCTTTGATGCCTCATCGAATCTTGTGATCAACCCAGTCTTCTTCAATTCTTCTTTGTATGAACTGATCACACTGCCATAAAATCCATAATCAATAACAGGAACCCCATTAAAGACCTTTAGAAGGCACTCCCATTCAGGGTCCACAAGAAAGGACATGTTAGGAGCATGAAATCCCACAATTGTCTTCAACCATTTCAAATCTTTGAGCTCCCTTACAAAATCATCACATGAACCCACATAACGGATGCACTTGAGGATTAATACAGTAGCCTCAGAAGTAATATCATCAGAACTGAACTTGAAGTTGTCAATAACAAGCTGGTAATTGTCTTTGAACCCCACAATAACACCAAGTAATTCCAGCTCGGGTTTATATTCAAGGATGGCCACACCGTAGGACAGAACATCAACGAATGGTTGGTTACTGATACATGATGCCACTGCCCAATCTGAATCATAGATGATACAATCAGCAGGACGCCTGTAGCCAAGAGTACTCTTCATCCATCGTCCCTCTTTGACACTCTTGATCAGTTCACTCGGAGATAGAAACTTTTCTCCTAGAAACCGAATAAGCCGAAGCAGTGTGTACACATTCTCTCTGGTCAGCGAATTGCCAGCAGCAATAGACATGAGGCGACTTCGATGTAAGCTGAAGCTTCCTGGAATTCAAATCTCACGCCAATTGCCTTGAGTTCCTCTTTATACATATGTAGCTTGTTTTGATAGTGCTGTTGATCAATCATTGGTATATCAACAAAGGAAGGTCCTGTTTGCAGAAGACTCCCCCAATTGGAGCTGGACAGAAATGATATATTAGGCGACTTGTACCCAGCCGACGTCTTTAGCTAACTCCTTCCTTGACACAAGTCAAGAACAGGTCTGGTAATCTCACACCATTTGACTTCAAATTCCTTATCCATTCCAGCAGCAAGAATGCATTCTCCACAGTTAGAGGTGATGAAACAGTAGGGAATCTGGCATCTGGTGGGTGTATGAATGGCACATCCGAAGCCTGCAAATTTGTCTCGAGGAATTCCAGTAGCTGGTCCTCAGAAGTGTAGTTTCCAGCAAAATGTCCTGCTGACTTGTAATCTGCTGACAATTCAATGTAGCCTTCATTCCTCCATGGGTTTGTACCCATCAAACCAACCCATTTGCTCCCCTTGGCAGGAACTATAATTCTATTTCTTTCCTTGACAACATAGCCATAGCTATCAATTACTGGCATGGTGCGGCAGAGTTCTGATAAGTAGTAGCTCTCGATGTGAAGCGTCTTGGAAGAGTGGTAAAGAAAGTGTGCGAAGGCAATGACAGCTCTTTGATCAGAACCCAAGGAATCAACAACACTTGATGCATAGCTATAGACAGAGACAACCTCCACTCTTGCATGATTCTTAAGCCAGTTTTTCACAGTTATCTTCTCCGACAAATCTTCTAGAGCTGTTTGTGTGCTGGGAGGCAGAAAGAACCGGTTAGAAGATAGAAACTCCCTGTTCCAGCTGATTAGCCATGATATGTACTTGTTTTCAGACGCAATGCACAACCTATCATTCCACTGACTAGCTCTAGATATGCTCCAGAACGAGAGAACACCACCCCTATCAACATACTTCAATAGGGGAATGGACATCATGTTTGTACCAGAAAAGTTTTGCCAATTGTCTGCAACAAAATATATAATTTCCAGGTAAAGCTGTTCATGTACCTCCTTGACAAGATTTGAGCCTTCAATGCATTTTGCATACCATTCATGGTCCACATTTTTCACTTCCAGAAAGTTTATCACACTGTCATATATGCTGTTGTCAAAATGAGAGCTAAGAATATAGGTTCCATGGGTCAACAGATTCTTCAGATCCACTCCGAGTTTCCATGCTTTGTCAAGGATAGTCCAAAATGCTGGCTTCAGCCGTGCAACTTCACTGGGCTTGCAGAATATCTTCCGTGAAGCATAAGACTGACATGGAACTATAGCCTCCACAAGGACCTTGTCTTTGATGCCAGACCTAACTGGCTCAAGCAGTGGGATCTGTGAAGAATTGATGGGTAGAAAGTTGAACATAGATGGCAGAGACATTGATGGTGATGCATCAGCTCCAGACTTTATGAGTGTCACAAAAGCATCCATGAAAGCGCTTGGGACACACTCTAGAATTCCCTTGTTCCACGGACTGTCAAACAGTATAGCCTCCCTTGACGAAGCAAGGAGGAAGTCAGCCTGAATGATGAAGGGGAAGCTTGTTACCATCTCAGTTGGGAGGAAAGCATAGATGCCAGGTGATAGCTGCTTCCCACGGGACAGACGCTCGCCATGTGGGAAGGCCAGGGTTATCACCCATTCATCAATTTCAGCACGCTTATCGACTCTGTTCTCTGGCTTTACTGGGAATTTCTGCCTCCACATATAATAACCACATTCAGCTTCATCTTTTCCGGTCTCTTCAGCAGATAAATGGATTGTGTACGACTCAGCATGCATGTTCTTCCTGGCTTGGTAGTTCTTTTCACTGGATATCGAAATCTCACTAACAGTTGTATTGCTGGGATCAGAGTTATCCTCCCGGACAGAAAGTTTCCTGATCTTTGTCAGGAACAGTAGCATTTCAGGATGCATGCTTGACAGCTGCCTCTTCACTGCATCAATCTTCTCACTCTTCAATGGTAAGATGATGATAGTTGTAGGTAGGACCTTTGAGCACCCATATAATGCTTCGATGTCGGAAAGGCTAGGTGTGGATTCCACCCACTGAGGTACAATGTACCCAATATTGCATTCTGCACAAGGTTTCTCATTGAACTTGATCTGATAGCCGTTGCTGAATATGTGGGGCTGACTTGATATCAAGAACACACTTTTGAACCCAATACCTGAATCAGAGGCAACAAAAAATAGTTGAAACTAGGCACAAATAGTAACCAGATATGTAGTACGTTATGTAATCCTTTGCAGTGAATTGGTTGTAGTAGGTAAACAGATAATGAAAAAAATGCTACAAAGATTTGACATCTGATGAAACAAATTTGAGCAAGGTTACATTAGGCATTAGGCGCTCTCTAGGCAGTGACCTCTTCCTCTCGCCTAACTGTTTTTTAAGGCGTTTTGTACAAATACATATATTATATATAAAGAAAAGAATAATGCGGAACAGTGGGATTAGATTGGAAATAAGGCACATCAAAGAGTCCACCCCATCTTACCCACTCCAACCTTATCCATCTGCCTCCTCCCAATTCAAGTCGCACGACATCGACTCAACTCTCCTAGCGCTCGTCACGCCCGCCATCTCTGTTAGAATAAACTATCTTGCTTTCCTTGTGTGAACACACAGCAAGGAAGGCGACGCGAAAAAGGACCCTCTTTGTGATATTATAGCCGCTGCGAGTGTGTGCACCACACGACTCACCTGCTGAGCATCAGTAGCCACATGCAGAGGCCGCGCAGCAGTCAGCCACAGTATGTTATCTAGTCATTTATTGCAGCAGATAGCTGTCTTTGGGACTAGATGGATAGAGTTGTATAAATAGACTACCACGACAACTCTTCAAGAAAGAGAGTTCAGATTTACCATCTCCCATATAGGGCTTCGCCAACGCCGGTGTCTTGTACTTGTGTGTATATGCTCTGTTCTCCCTCTTCAACCTCATCCATAGTGTGTGGGGACGGACAAGCGCTTGTTCATGGTCGGCTTAGCTAGTGGGTGCTCGGCAACACTAGCGGGTGCTCGACAAGACCGGTTTCACCCTGAGTGGTGATCCTGTTGGCTAACAAGTGGTATTGGAGCCGTACAAGCGCCGTCGCAGACTACAACGTGGCGATAACGGGTGGTTCGGAGATGGGCGACAAGCAGATGCCGCCTGTGGGCTGCCCAGCCACGACCGGAGGTCGTTGTTCGCGATGATGGGAGGTCGGCCCGCACCAGATTAGCCGACGCTGACTCGCACCAACTATAGAGAGTGGTCGGTGACCATGAAGGTCAAGCTCGAGCCCGAGCGGCTCTAGAATGCTATCGACAAGGGCATCGACAATGAAGAAGATGACATGTCGTTGGAGACTATCCTCGCCATCTTTGTCAAGTGAGTACAGGAGCCGTTGGGCGTAAGAGCTCTGCTAAGGAGGCATGGGAGGCTATTGCGGCGGCGCTTGGCCGGTTCCGATCAGCGCAAAGAGGCGACGGCCCAGCTTCTGAAGCATGAGTACGCCAACCTCAAGTTCAAGGATGGTGAAACGGTGGTGGACTTCACCCCTCCGCCTGCAGACGCTCATCGACAAGTCAGAGCCATGGCATCACCATCGACGAAGAGGAGGTGATCTCCAAGTACCTCCACTCCGTCTTTGGCAAAGTACATCCAGATCGCTCTCTCCATAGAGACGATCTTTGGACTTGTCCACCCTCACAATTGAGGACGGATGTGCCGCCTCACGGGCGGTGGACAAGTTACCTGGAGCATTTACAGCGATAACGAAGGACAACAGCAAACTGCTGCTGACGGAAGAGGAGTGGGCTGCTCAGAGGAACTCCGGGAAGGCAGTCTCCTCCAGCCGCGGTGGCGATGGCAAGTGCCGCGGCAAGGCTTCTTCGGAGAAGAAGCAGGTCGACCCCAACGCCTGTCGGCGCTACGGGAAGATGGGTCATTGGGCATGGGAGTGCCCAAATCGCAAGCAAGAGAAAAAGGCTCAGGCTCATCTAGCGCAAGCTGACGATGAGGATGAGGCCACTATCCTGATAGCGACGTTCTATGCACTGCACGACATCGAGGCCGAGGAGAGGGAAGAGGCGACGACGGTGGAAGGACCTAGGAAGGCCCTGAAGACTGTCAACCTCGACGAACCACGCGCCCAAGTTCACCTAGGACGTGTGGACACCGACCAGGAGCAGTGGTGGTATCTGGACTCTGGTACAAGCAACCACATGATGGGCTCCAAGGCATCCTTCTCCAAGCTCGACGACGATGTTACCGGTACGGTGAAGTTTGGTGACGGCTCAAGGGTGGCAATCCAAGGGCGCGACACCATCAGCTTTAGGTGCCAAAATAGGGAGCACCAAGCGCTAACGGATGTATATTACATCCCGCAGTTGCGTTCCAGCATCATCAGCATTGGTCAGCTAGATGAGCGTGATAGCGAGGTACTGATCAAGGACGGAGTCCTTAGGATCAGGGACCGGGAGCAGCGACTTCTCGCCAAGGTAAAGAGGTCCCTAAACCGGTTATACCTGCTCGACCTGAAGGTAGAGCAGCCGGTGTGCCTGGCGGCAAGGCACTCCGAGGAACCGTGGATGTGGCATGCCCGGTTCGGACATCTTAGCTTCGACGCGCTTGGTCGGCTGGAGAAGATGGTCCGAGGGCTACCTCATATCAAGCACGAAGGCGAGCTATGTGACAGCTGCCTGGCCGGGAAGCAGAGGAGGCTACCATTCCCAAAGGCAGCCAAGTATCGCGCGCAGGACGCTCTCGAGCTCGTCCACGGCGACCTCTGTGGGCCGATCACGCCTGCTACAAACGGTGGTCGGCGGTACTTCCTCCTGCTCGTGGATGATTGCAGTCGCTACATGTGGCTACAACTCCTGACGAGCAAGGACGAAGCGGCGACGGTGATCAAGAAGTTCAAGATGCGCGCGGAGGCCAAGAGCGACAAGAAGCTCCGCTTGCTAAGGACTGATCGCGGTGGTGAATTCACTTCGGTGGAGTTCGCTGCGTACTGTGCGGATCAGGGTGTGGTGCGACACCACACCGCGCCATACTCGCCACAACAGAATGGCGTGGTGGAGCGACGGAACCAGACGGTGGTCGGCATGACCCGATCCATGATGAAGGTCAAAGGCATGCCGACAAGGTTCTAAGGGCAGGCGGTGACCACGACGGTGTTCATCCTCAACCGCGCTCCGACCAAGGCCCTGACGGGCAAGACATCGTTTGAAGCTTGGTATGGGCGCAAGCCGAGCATGTCCTTCCTCTGGACATTTGGCTGCATCGACCACGTTAGGAAGACGAAGCCGAACCTCACCAAGCTGGAGGACAGGAGCACACCGATGGTGTTCCTGGGCTACGTGGAGGGTACCAAGGCGTACTGACTCTACGACCCACGCGGAGACAAGGTGCTTGTCTCACGCGACGTCGTGTTCGATGAGAAGACTTGGGGACCTGGACCGGTCCGAGCACGGGGAAGGCAGCGGCTTCTTCACCGGCACCTTCATCGTTGAGCACTTGGTCATCCACGGTGGTGGAGATGCTAGGGAAGAGGTGCTGAGCACTCCAGCAGTAGAGCCAAGCACTCCTAGGACAATGCCGAGCACTTCGGGAGGGATGTCGAGCACTTTCGAGGAGTGCCGAGCACTCTGGAGGGATGCCAAGCACGCCGAGAGTGGCGCCAAGAGGTTCTATAGTTGTGGCGACCACTACTGGGACGGGTGTCGAGCACTCCGTGCGGCGGAGCCAAGACGTCTTATAGTGGTGCCAACCACTCCAAGATCGAGCTAAGCACCTCTACAGTGGGGCCGAGCACCTGCGGGAGTTATGACGAGCTATCGAGTAGTAGAAAAAAGCATCGCAACAGTGGTGCCGAGCACTCAAGGTGTTGTCTTAGAGCACTCCGCTAAAAACAGGGAACTCCATCGATGCCGATCGAGTTCGTCTCACCTCCAAGTGACATCACTGAGTTCGTGGATGCCTTCCACGAAGCAGAGGAGGTGCGGTTCCACAGGCTGGACGACATCGTCGGCGGCACAGGGCCCTCAGGACTGGTGGGTAGGCTGCTCAATGACGCAGAGCTGCTGCTCGTCAGTGCAGAGGAACCACCCACGTTCGCACTAGCCGAGCGGGACGGAAACTGGCGACGGGTGATGCTGGAGGAGATGAAGGCGATCGAGAAAAATGAGACTTGGCAGCTCATCGATCCACCTCCAGGATGCCGTTCGATCAGCCTGAAGTGGGTGTATAAGGTCAAGCGGGACGAGCTCGGCGCCATTGTCAAGCACAAGGCGCGCCTCATCGCCCGAGGCTCTGTTCAGCGTGAGGGCATAGACTTCGAGGAGGTCTTTGCGCTAGTAGCGCGCATGGAGTCGATTCATTTTCTACTAGCCTTGGCAGCAGCAAAGGACTGACGCGTCCATCACTTGGACATTAAATCGGCCTTCCTCAACGGCGAGCTGGTAGAGACAGTCTTCATCAGGCAACCTCTAGGTTTCGTCATCAAGGGAGAGGAGCACAGGGTGCTCCGACTGCGCAAGGCGCTCTACGGGCTGCGGCAGGCCCCACGAGCATGGAACGCCAAACTTGACGCCACGCTGGGCGAGCTTGGGTTTCAACGATGCGCAACCGAGCACGTGCTCTACATGTGGCGACGGGGGAACGAGGAGCTCGTCGTCAGCGTGTATGTGGACGACTTGATCGTCACTAGCGCGCTCAAGGAGGACATCAACAGCTTCAAGCGCGAGATGTCGGCTCGTTTTCGAATGAACGATCTCGGCACACTCTCCTACTACCTCGGCATCGAGGTGAGACAGGGGAAGGAGGAAGTCATGCTCGGTCAGAGCGCGTATGCCTCCAAGCTGTTGGAGCGAAGCGGCATGGCTGAGTGCAAGCTGCGCGTGACTCAATGGAGGAGCGGTTTGGTCGACGAAGGCCGATCCGGCGAAGGTGGATGCAACACTCTACCGGAGCATCATCGGTGGTCTGCGCTACCTTGTCCACACAAGGCTGGACATTGCGTTCGTCATGTGCTACATCAGTCGCTTCATGGAGAATCCTAGAGAGGATCACAGGGCTGCGGTGAAATGGCTACTGCGCTACGTCAAAGGGCGGTGGATCATGGGATCATCTTCCCAAAGATCGATGAGAGTAGGCTGCGCTCACATCGTGTTCGGCCCGATGAGACATGGCGGGGACATCGACGGACGACGAAGCACCTGCGGCATGCTCGTCTTCCTCGGGCCGACCCCAATTTCATGGTCGTCATTGAAAAACAGAAGGTGGTGGCGCTTATCTACGCGCAAAGGCGATGCGTGGCGGCGCCACGCCGGCGTGTTGTTGTGTGGTTGCTGCGCCTCGGGCGTAGCTGACCAACATGGAAGCTCACCCACCAAAGCGATGGTGGGCAACCAGCCGCCATCGCCTCGAGAAGAATCCGGTTTTACACGATCGGAGCAAACACATCGACGTGAAGTTCCACTTCCTCAGGGACTATGTCGATGGAGGACAGATCGTCATTGAGTTCGTCAAAACTGGTCGACAACTCGTGGACGTCCTCACCAAGCCACTCGAACGTCTTCGGCTCACGGAGCTGAAGGAGATGATCGGCATAGAGGGGTACAAGGGATAGTGATGAGTTTAGATGAAGAATTGTTAGAATAAACTACTGTTTTCCTTGTGTGAACACATCAAGAGAAGGCGACGCCAAAAGACCCCCCCGCTGTGATATTGTAGCCGCTGCAGTGCAAAGTATTACCGCGGCTCCTGTGACATTGTAGCCACATGCGAGGCCGTAGCAGCAGAGTCAGGTCCTATATGTTATCTAGTCTTTGTTCTGCAAAAAGAGGGTTGTGCAAAGAGACTAGATGATAGAGTTGTATAAATAGACTACCACGGTAACTTCAAGAAAGAGAGTTTAGATTTACCATCTCCCATACAGGCTTCGCCAACACCGTGTCTTATAACGTGTGTGTATGCTCTGTTCTCCCTCTTCTTCAACCTCTCCGCCATAGTGTGGGGGACGGACAACGCTTGTTCGTGGTCGGCTTAGCTAGTGGGTGCTCAGTAACACTAGCGGGTGCTCGGCACTGAGCCGGTGATCTGTGGGCTAACAACCTCTGCTTCGCTCGCGTCCACCTCCTTTTTGCCCACGCTCGTCACCCACCAACTGTTGCCCACCGCTAGCCTCCTCCCGGTCGTGGCGTGGCACCCCCCTCCCGACCGCACTTGTGCTGCTAGCCTCCTCCCGGTGGCGCGCCGCCTTCGCCGCCACCCGTTGTCACTCCCTTAGACAACATGGCTCTCGGATCTCAGGGGCACGCCACCCATCGGTTGGTGCATAAAAGGAAACAAAATCCCTAATCCCTAATCTCAGGAGCAAGTGCGTGTATGGCTAACATGTATCTATTGCTATAGCATATTTATATATCTACGTGCATAATTATATACCACATATATTTTAAATGGCTACGTATATCTCTTGCATATATATCTACATTCGTAATTACATACTTATATCTTTTCCAGTTTATCCTAATCAAATTATGTCATGTCCAAAGTTGCAAAATAAAAGATATACCACATCCAATAGATCGTGCATGCATCAATTAGATCTAGAAGGTTCTTTATATCTAAACCTTACCTATTTTATAAAAGATAAAATTAAATAAATATATATTTTACCTATTACCTCCTAGGAAATAATGGATGATCCTAACGATCTGATCTAATTAAATAAACAGCTCACAGCAATTTAAATTTAAATTTAAATGCATAATATTAGCATAACTATTGTTTAATTCATCTAAAAATATGTTTATCAATTTGACTAAAGTAATCCATCCCAAGTGTTTAGTTTATGAATGCTAATGCTAGCATCTCAAAACATAACATGTGTAGTTGTGTATTAAAATAATTGTCTTAAAGGCCTTACTTTAGTTAGATAGGATTACAAAAATTTGTCTAAAAACAATTACAATATTTATTTTAATGCATAATATGAGCATACGCTCTTGTACCACAATGAGGTCTCTACCACTGTAATACCACTGTAAGACATGGCAACCAAAAAAGAAATTAGAAAAGACATAGCTTTCATGTAATATTGTTTTAAATGGCGTGATCTATGATTATTTGGTGGAAACCACCTTATTGGTAGAAATTACCATAAGTTCAAAACTTGGCACGTCCATAGTAAATTCATATATCGGACATGTCTTAAAAGTTGAGATGCAAGTCCGTTCGTGTTCTAGTGCAAATGCACCTAGATTTTTTTGTATGAACTCAACTTTTCTACAAATCGGATGCAATATGGAGGGCCAAGTGTCATTTTTTAAAAAACTTTTAAATATATTTTTCAAGTGGTTTCCACGATTCCACGGAATGTTTTCCCATGATATAATTGATCAGCATCATATTAATTACTGAACATAGTTTTAGTCATTCAAAATTAAAATATTGTATGATCTTTTACTGCTATCATTTGCCTGAAATTGACTGAAAAGGTCCTAACTAATTTTATCTCCGTGGATGAATATTTCTTTTTCTAAATGGTGATTTAGGAAACAAAATAAATGAAAAAAACTGTGAATATTTACCTTTCTCTCCAATGTAACCCTGATGTCTGTTTCCCTTCTTTGTTGATTTCCCAACACGACAAATTGACTCTATATTGGTTGCAGAGAAACCCCTCTCATTGTTGAAGATGAGCAAAGTTGAGGATGCACCACATCCAGTAATATCCTTTGATGTAATGAGGAACTCCAAAGAAGGTGCTACTTCAGAAGGGTATTCATTATCTTCAGCGTTCTATTTTTTGAGGAAGAAAGTAAAGTATGAGACGAAGTATTAAGATTTAAGCACAAGCACACCTGCAAACTGATATAAATAAGGTGGCCACAGACAATGCCTAACTTCCGGGATTAGTGTTTTTATTCTAAAAAAAGGATTAGTGTTTTTGTTCGCTTCACAGGTTAAGAGGAATGAAATAAATACAGAGGACACACAAGAAGATGAACTTTTTGTTTTACCAGTTAGTTCTGCTATTCAACATTGAAGAAAAGGATTATGACAACTACATGTCTTTTTCAATTCGACAATAATTACTGACCACGTGGAAAACTTATGTAGGAAAAAATAACAAGAGCAACGGCTTAACTATGATAATTACATAAACTCACAATACTGAAAAGGAGGGCTGACAAATTATGCTAACAAATAAAAGAATTATGCTAAATCGGTACCCAAATTCATACACACATATAGAGTAGTTATTCTTTGGCAGTTGACACCAAATTAAACAGAAATAATCTGATGGAACACAATGGCACACAGAAAGGGCAACTCACACAGCGGTTCACACAAGAACAGCGACAGCAAGAGAAACGCCAAAAGGAGATTACACCGGCCGATCGATTACCTGCACGAGCTCCATGAGGAAGTGCACGTCCTTGGAGTAGAGCTCCTGAGAGAGGTAGTTGACGGCCTGGTGCATGTCCTCCGCCAGTGGGTTCTGCTTGCCGCGCCCGATGTAGTAGCGCTCCCGCCGGATCCTCTCCACGTGCTCCCGCGGCGACGCCGGCGGCGGCATCGTCGAGGACGACGACATTTTGACGGTTCCACTTCCACTGGACTACCAAGGGGAAGGGACGCGGCGTGGGTTGCGAGAAAGTGCTGAAGGGAGAGGGAGAGGAGGGGTCTTCTTCCGGGCTTGCAGGCTGCCTTTATAACCACGGTGATTACAACGGCGGTTATTCGAATTCTGGTGTTTCTTCTTGCAAACAACTTCTCAGTCCCAACTTTCAAATAGCTAGATTAGACTTAGAAATAATTAAAAAAAACATTATAGTAGAGAGTTATTTGAGCCGTGAGAGAGTTATTTCTAGAAGATTATACTAGACTAGTTATTTGAGAGTCACTGGCTATTTAATCTCTCCCTGATAACCAATGCAATTCTTGCTAAACTAGTTATTTGGAAACCATTAAGAACGTCCTTAGGCTCGCGTTAAATTACCAACTCTACTTTACCTTTGCTTGTCCAAGTGAAAATTAGCTCGTCTATCAAAGGTGCCGGTTTGAATTCCAAGCGATTCTAAGAATTTAGATAAAAAAATCCTAACAGTTTTATTAGATTTCAAGATTTAAAAAACTATGAGTTAAAATCTCTCTTAAATCTAGTCCATTTGGATGAGACACGATTATGTCATTTTTTCATCCGATTCTAATCCAGAGGATTCAGAAGGGCCTAATAAATAAGAAAGCTAATAAATAATAAGTTAGTTTTAGTCAACTTCTTAGCTAATAAATAATGAGTTAGTTTTAGTCAACTTCTTAGCTAGCTGTTACTTCCTCCGTTCTCTTTTTATAGGAACATGCTGACCGGATAGGATTCCTTTAAACGGCTGTTTCCTGCGTGCGCCTGCACAGCCTGCACTCCGCTCACTAATTCGCCATGCCCGCATGTGCATCTCCGTAGTCGTGTCCGTACAAGACTCGCTTGCAATCCGCCCGTCGGCCTTGATTTCCCGCCCCCATCCGTTCGCCCCGCCCCGCAGGCGCACCCCGCCTCTCCTTGCCCCCGACCGCCAGCCCCCAGCGTACCACGCGCCACATCCGCCGGCTCGCCACGGCCCATTCCCCGGCACCCGTGCTCTACCACTGTCATTCCCCTGTGCCCCTTGACTCTCCAAACCGCAAGAAACACGTGCAACATGAAACACTTGAATGCAACATACGTCTGAAACAGATGAAATATCTGGGACATACACTTGCAACATATGTGTGAAAACATATACAACATCTAGATAGAACACTTGCAACTTGCAACAAAAAAACCCTTGCTGCAACGGAAGACTGGAACATGTGAAACATTTGGAACATATTATTGCAATATATGTGTGAAACATATGCAACATCCGGATCAAAACGCTTGCAACATACATCTAGAACAGATGAAACATTTTGAACAAACGCTTACAACATGTCTCTAAAACACTTGCAACATATGCAACATGTGCAACATCCCCGATCTACTTTTACAATATCCATATGAAACAACTTTAACATACCTCGGAAATGTATAGAAACATATATTTGGAACATAGCGGAGGGGGAGCGCCTATGCCGGTCAGATTCCGGCTGTCGGGGTGGGAGCCGGTGGCAAGCGGCAGCGCGCGAGCACCACTAGCATCTAGCAACATCTACGCGTGCGAGCACCACTTCTACCGGTGCCACCAACACCGGGCTTGGCTCGGGCTGGCGGGCGGCGCGTGTGACAGGCGGAGCGAGCACCACCAGCACCAGCACGTGCGACGGGGGCAAGCGAGCGGCGACGGATGGGGCGTGTGGCAGCAACGAGGGGATTGCACGTCCACACTCAGGACGAGGCAGCCGCAAGGCACTGCGGCAGGGGGAGGAAGCGGAAGGGATATTGATGGGTGATTTTTTCAATAAACTCACAGGCAAAACGAGCGGCAGGGTAAAGCGTAAGCAACGAGGCGGTGGACCTGTGGGAGTGTGACGATTTGTGCTCGCGGCGGATGTAAGACACGTAGCATTACCACTTTTTATAAGGTGCGGTCGGACATACCAAGGTCTACCAAATTACAATTTGATTATTTATTTATTTTTACATTATATTGTTTATACTTATAAACTTATGATAATTGGATACTATATTTAATTGCAAATCCAAATGTATCAAATTTGTAATATAATAATTAAAAAGTATTAGTCAAATTATTGTTATTGAGTTTTAAAGTTTAATTTTTCATATATGTTTATGTCTTATAAAAGAGAATGGAGGGAATAGCATATAACTTATGAGGGCTAATAGTATATTGCTAGGGATGTATGCACCTTTTTTTAGACTGGGAACCAAACATGTGTAAGGCTAATAGTTAGATGACTAAATTTTAGCTGGTCTCGAGTAATAATTAGATTTAGCTAAACAGGTCTGGTCCATCTTGTCACTTTTAAAAAATATTGTGGGAGTAGTGCTGAAATTCAAAAGTGACTGTAAATTAAAGGGTGGTTACAGTACTAAGTTTTGCAAGTATAATTTCGGAGTTAATTGATATATTGTTCTTTAAAGTCGCTTCATCCCTATTATTACTATCTCGGGAGACTAAATTGACATGTCTCGAGTTTATTGGTGGACATGTGGTTTATTATCGAAAAAATATATTCCTTAATAAATTAAATATACAGATATATATCAGTCAAGTATCATGAAAGCTGATCAAGATTAGTACAAAGTGTTTCTCAACTTTGCTGCTACGCACCCGAGCACAAACTTTTGCTACTGCTAACATTGGTCATCAGTCGAGCAGGCAATGCAACCAGGCTCCCACATGCATATCTTCGCGGCGAAGGTTGCTTCCCTACCCTACACGGCTACACATCGTTAACACATCTCGTCTCGACTGTGAGCTGCCCAAGTGACCCGACGAGAACCGTGAAACGTCTAGGTCGCTGTCACTTGTTCGTCGTCCCACCGCGTGGAAAGCTACGCCAGGACGACGCAGCTGTTTACCGGTTTGGCACTCATTGGATTAAAGGTATATAGAGTCTAGTCAAATTTGAAGGACCTTCCTCTTTTTAGCCTCAATTTTGGAGTGATCACTCTTTTTCCAAAAATAAAATAGGCAAGATTAATTTTCTTGGACCATGATATGGAGCAAGCCAAAAATGTAAAATTATTGCTCTGTATCTTTAAACAACTATTTGGTCTAAAGATTAATTTTCATAGTCACGAGATTTTCTGTTTTAGAGAGGCAAATATAGTTACGAGAGTAAATATACTAAACTTTTTTAGATGTGAAGTACTCCCTTCGTCCCTAAATATCTATCCTTTTCATTTCCCAAGAAACATTTTGACTAAATATATAAAAAATATATATTAATATTTATGGTGCATAATTAATATCAATAGATAGATATTTGAATCTAGTTTTTTAATAAATATATTTGGAGATAGGAATGTTGCACGTATTTTTTCTACAAATCAAGTCAAACTTTCGGTATGGAAACCAACGGCGACAGTTAATTAGGGACGAAGGGAGTAAGGTCACACCCTTTGAGGTACCTATGCACTTCTACAAACTTCATAATACAGATTGGAGTGTAATGGAGGAAAGATTCAAGTATAAACTAAGTACCTGGGAAGCTAAACATCTATCTTACTAGAAGCATATCTCATAAGTTGCTGTGTTGTTTTCTTAGAATAAGACCACCACATGTATGAGTTAAACTTACAATGAAAAGTTAATGAAAAAGTCCAATAAAAAGCCTAACAGAATTATATTTACTCTCGAAGAAACAAGTTGAAAGAGGGTTCAGTAGGGCGTCCAACCTAGGAGGGGCGTTGAACCAAAGGAAATAGCTAACCCTAGCAGTGGCGTCAGAAGGGCGTCAAATCGAGTAGGGGTGTCCGCCCATAGTGGCGATGGACCAACCACTACAACTGTTCACAATACAGCGGCTGATTCAGACAAAAAAAGCAGAAGCGTCGAACTAGTGAATGCTAGTCCGATGGCTTGCAGAGAGATTCTAGAGAGGGTTTGTGGGCGTTAGACCGGTCCGACAGTAGGCATTAGACTATATGCCACAGAAGAACCCAACGGTCAGCAGAACGATTAGTTTCAACTGCTAGCTGTGGACTGGGCATTGGATTGGCCCGACAACCCATCATCGAACGGTCCGGTGAGTGTGCAAGTTCCAAAGGCTACATTTAGAGGTGGGGCCTATAAATAACCCCTTGGCCAAAAAAATGAGTGCGTGTAGAGCTCAAGGAAGACTTATGTGAGTTAAGGCTCATCTCAGTTGCTATAGCCACCAAAGTGCTTAGTGATATACTCGATGATTAGCATAGGTGTTTTGCGAAGTGCTTAGGTTAGTTAGATCACCACATTAGTGCTTTCTCTAGGTTTAGGCCTAGTATTTAGTGAGGTTTACATACCTCTTACTCATAAGGTACTTGCACGCACCATTGTTGTACCCGGAGGGGCTTGTAGGCTTGTGAGACCACACCAACTGCGTTTGTGGTGTGGCCACCACCGTGTACCGGAGGGAACGAGGCCTATGGCGGTTTGTCTAGAAGCTCTATAGTGAAGACAATGGGTAGCGGTCCAGGAGAGGCCATCTCGGAGATCCACTTTGCGAGTGGGAAGGCCCCGGGGCTATTGTAACAACCCTAGCCCATTAATTAGTAGCCTGTAGTAGTTGTGAAGTTGGCCCAAGTGGCTCATGTGTGGTTGTGGTTGGTGGGTTTAGCACCACCTCAGAAGTTTAGGAGGGTGAGGGCTAGTTATAAGCTTTGTCTTTCCAAACGTACCCGTGGAGGGGTGTACCAAGGGGTAGTCCTAGACATCTGCCACATATATATGTGGTAAGCTGCTGAGGGTGTTAGCCCTTAAGGGGGGTGAATGTAACACCCCAGCCCATTAGTAGCATGTAGCAGGTGTGAAGTTGGCCTATGTGGCTGTTGGTATTTTTTAACTTGTCACTTGTTTTAATAGCCACCTATTATAAACCTATATCTCCTAACATTACTTTACTAGGTTGTCATCCCTAGTAATGTTGCTAGAGATA